TAGGCCTATCTCTATACTGGGGTTGTTTTTAATGAGGAAGAATCACATTAAACTGAAGGAAATATTTCTACATCTGTCTGCTCAGTGCCTTCCTAATCCGGCAACACAAGATTCAGGTTTGTATTTCAGACATTCCTCTCTACCCAACCAGTCCCAGCGTATCATCCTCCAGAGTGACATTTCAATTTCCTTGTATGTGTGTGTATGTGTATGTCATTTCCTGTTCTGAGTGCATTGGACACTTGTGTTTACCGAGTGTCTGCTGATGGGTTTTTTCCCACCACTTCCCTCCCTTTAGCTTTACCATGCATGACGCTGTGGGAGAGTCACCATCTGCATGTCAAATCGCTATTTTTACCACAAGTCATGGACAGAATATTCTAGAAACATCCAGCGCTTTGGCAGCATTTGGATGAACATGTTAACTTGTACAATTCAGTTTGGGAATTTATCATTTTATGGCTGTTTACCATTTAGCTTCATATATTGTCTTGTTAACGCTCTACAATGTCAAGATTCAAGATTTTTATTTGCCATTTATGCATAAACAGACAGTCTAGGCATCCAGGAATTCTTGTGCTCTCCTTTGGAGTCAGGTAAGGAGTCAAAAGCCAGAAAGAACACTTAGTCTTAAAATAAAAAAAGTTACATAAAGGCGACAAAGTATTAAAACCACAATACACAAAAATAGGGTAATGGTATTTTCCCCAGTGAACTTCAAACATTGCACTTAGTAATTCACATGGTGGAGTTGGATATGTCATTACGCTTGGTGAGGCAGTGAGGGGTTACTGCACATATATTCTCACATTTTCATATTTACCATCAGTCTTACTGCAGCAAGGAAGAAGCTGTTGTAAAGTCTAGTTATTTGTGTGATGATACCGTCCACCCTGCTGTGCCTGAGGCTGTAGGTGCAGTTTTTGTGCCTGAGCAGAGTGTGAGCTGGGAGGCGTGGATGGCATGCGAATGTGATGCACAGGATTAACCATTTAATAACATGGAGGTGTATTTAGCCACAGGACAAGTGAGGAAACAACTGGAGCACGATGATCCGACTCATTTCTTACATAAGGCTGGTATAATGCATTGATTAGCAGCACACTCATGGAGTAAGGAGCTATGGATGTGAGCCATTAGGTAATAATCAGAATCAGAACTCAGATTCTATGAAGGTAGTATAAAGGTCAGCTGAGAGTCATTTTAAAAGTTCCAAGATGATATTTGATCTTATGCCATATGGAAAGAGAATGAGTGATTCCAGAGTCAGTAACTACCAAATCTGCTAATCTGCTAAGCTGTACACACAAACCTGAGTAATATGAAGCATGAAATTCCTCCAGTGAGATTGTTGTGCTTTGGCATCTGCGTCTGAATTTACTATCCTTTCATATAATTTTTTTTGCATGTATTTGTATTTGGCGTTACATAAGATTGCCCTTTGGATAAGCTCTCCTACTGCGTGAACATTCACCTTTTTGTGTGGCATCCAGCTGTGGCTCTTAGTCACACACAGCACAGCCAGCTACCGTGCAGCTTCGTTTCATGCATACTGAATCTGAACAGACATGCATGACCATCTTCTCTATGGATGGCACACAAACACACACACATATACATAAACCCAGCCTGCCAAGCTTGGGAGCATCAAGGCCTAATCTAGGTCACGGCCTAGGCCCAGAGGTATCCTGGTCTCCACACACACTTAAATGAACACACATTTATATTTGCAAGCAAAATCACGTGTAGCACATGAAATCCATTTAAACTCAACTAATCAGTTAACAGTGAGCAAATTTTCAGTTTGAGAGCAGACACATGTGAAATGAATCTAATGGATGATATATTTAAAACAAACCCTTGTCATTTTCATCTCCTTCCTCTCCCTCCCAAACAACCACACTCAGTCTAATGGCTCTTATGATTGTCACAAGGCCATCGTTTCCTTGATTAAGTGCACTCAGGGGGACACTTCTACAGCAGGTCACTGAATCAGCGCCCATTTATGAGACACTTGAAGCCTAACATAAAGCAGTTTATTGTGTGTAATCTTTAAATAAAGACTCATATCCTTGCAGCAGAAGCACCAAACTGCAGGATCACTTTGATATGACTCAGCCTGACAGAATATCACGTGAAATGCAACCATGTGTCACAGCACAGAAATAGAGGAGCTAATTTCTTTACATCAGTCTCTAGCCTTCTATAAATATTCCAAAGCTCTGTTCTCTTGCTCCCTGGATGCCTCTCTCTGTCTGTCTTGTTGCTTTCTGTGTTCCACTCTCCCTCTGTTTCCCTTTCTCTCCCTCCACCTCCCATTTGTCTATTTTTCTTCCTCTGCTCTTCTCATATAATGTAGAGGAATATGTCTTGTCTGTCTAGAAAAAGGCAGTGGTGTTAAGTGGGAGCAAAAACAGTTTTATCATTTCTGAGCCTAGAGTTTGGTTTTCCCCTCTGGCAGTCCTGGGGAGCGGTTGAGGAAGACAACAGAGATTTTATTATATTTTATTATAGAACATCTCGAAACAGATAGAGATCAGCTTTTCTCTCCATTCCTACTTTACTACAATTCCACCTCTATCAAGTACAGTGTGACAAGTAATCACAGCCATTAATCTTAAGTTTGAATCAGAAATAGGGGCATAAAGAAGAAAAAGAGGCCAACCAGATTTTATCTAAAGCACCTGCCAGGTAGACGTTACTGTGCCCAAATTGTGAGCGCACAATTCCAGCCTTCCTAACCTATCGGGGTGTAAGAGTGCCACCTATGAAGTCAGCAGTGCCCAACCCCCACCCTAAACACATGTTCACCATCCTCTGGGCACAGGCTGAACACAGCACTGAGACACAGCTGAGAATTAGAGAGAGAGAGGGGGAGAGCAGTGAAGTGGAAATATGTGTGAGCATCAGAGAAAGACAGAAATAGAGCGATAAAGCAGTGAATTAGGCAGAGGGAGGAGGAGCAGAAATAGAGACAGCTTTTTACTGAGACGCTGATGCTTTGTACAGACAGGGTTATTTTCTTGTAGCAGAAAGCCGCCGCTGTCGTGTACAGATGTGAGAACCTTATGGATTTGCTTCCTTTTGAATCTCAGTGGGATTCATCACATCTGGATGCAAAACAGCTGCAGACGGAGGATACGACTGTAGCTGGATGCTAGGATCCATGTGGGCCGGTGACGCCTGCACTCTCCTCCGTGGCTACTTTCTTCCCCATAAGGATGGCTCCAGGCGCACTGACCCAGATTGTGGAGTCGTGGCTCTTCGCAGTGGGCTGCTTCTCAGTTGGTCTATGAATGTGGTGCAGATGAGGCATGTTCTGCACCTCGGTGAAGACAACCCAGCCTGCTGCCTCTGCTGACATCTGTTTCCGTGGAAACACACAACAACTGGCAGGGTAAGGATGTGCTGCTTTGACCTGCACAGCCAAATGTCAAGATGATGAGGTTGTGTGTGCGTGTGTGTGTGTGCTCGTTTATGGATATAAATGTGAATATATTATACATCACTACAACCATGCAGATCCGGTTTCTATTTCCACATACTCACACACAAAAACTGGGAGTTAGTGATGATGTACTGAATATCATAGTGTATACATGCACTATGCAGAGTAGCTCGATGTATAATGTCTGACCGAGGAGCAACAAGGAACTGCGCTTCACCCAGAATACCATGGAAAGTGGGATAGGATGGCACAGGCAGAGAAGACCTGGATAAATAATTTATTCAAGTCTTTTTGGTTTCTGAAAGCATTTGCCTTTAGCCTGCTCGGAGGGAATGGTGGGCATGGGGAAAGCTATTTGTTCCTTCATAGGACAGATGCATTTATTCAGCTTGAGCCCAGCTGAACCAGTCTAATTTTAAAAATCAACAACAACTGAGTCTGGGCAATTCAGTTTGGGTTCATTTCATTCAGTGCTCTTTGATAAGATATATAACCGATATATAACCAGTTATATATCTTATCTGACCTACTGACCTTTGTCTGACAGAAGTCAGACAAAGGTCAGTAGGTTAGCAAAGAGCAGACATGTATGATGGGCAGTGCAGACTGCAATTCCATAATTCACATTCGTTTTCCCTAGAATGTTGATTTAGTAGCTTGAAACGCAAACTTTCAGAGTATAAAACATTATCTTAGTAGTCTAAAACATTCTTTTAATATAATTGCTATTTCTGAAACTTGGATTAATAATGTAAGGGGAATGGATTTTGACCTTGATGGCTACGACTTGGTATGTACAAACAGAGAGAATAAGATGGGAGGTGGGGTGGCCTTGTACATAGATAAAACTTGTTATTATAAAAAAGTGGAGAATCTTCTTGAATGTGTGACGATTGAATTACTTTTGGAAAAAAAGAAAAAGGTTGTAATAAGCTGTATTTATAGCGCACCTGGAACCAGCATAGAAAAATTTAATGACTGGATGGAAGAAAATTACTTGACAATAAGTCATAAATTAATGTTTATATGTGGTGACTTCAACATAGATTTGTTGAATCCTAACAAGCACTCGGGAACTGAGGAGTTTATTAACACAATATATAGATGCAGTTTATAGCCAAAAATTACAAAACCAAGTAGATTAACAACCCAGCACGCAACATTAATAGGTTATATATTTACCAATGATATTGAAAGCAAAATGACAAGTGGATTACTTATAAATGATATTAGTGATCATTTACCAGTATTTGTGGTTTATGAGGGCCAGTATAGAAAAGAGAGGCCAAAAACAAATCTTTTCTATAGGAGGAGGATGAACGAACAAGCTGTAAGGAGGCTAAAAGAGGATTTTATGGGGCAAAACTGGGAATCAGTTTACAGAGAGGAAGACTTAGATAAAGCATATGAGCAATTTTTAAATATATTTAAGAAAGTATATGACAGGAACTGTCCTCGTAAGCAGTATAAAAACAAAAGGAATTACAGTGGGAAACCGTGGATGAGTAAGGGATTACAGAATGCATGTAAAAAGAAGAATGTGTTATATAAGGAATTCATAAAGGACAGATCAAAGAAGGCGGAAGAAAAATATAAGTCATATAAGAACAAATTAATTGAGATTTTGAGGAGATGTAAGAAACAATATTACTCTAAAGTATTAGTAAGATAATAAAAGAAACATGAAAGGTACTTGGAATATATTAAATAAACTGATTAGAAACAGTTCCAGCAAGAGTAACTACCCCCAATACTTTATGGATAATGATACAC